GATATGAAAATGTTAGCGTTTCTACTACGAAGTTTAACAGTTCAACTCTAAAACATCTCTGCATTGTGAAAACGGCGATGAAGCATGGCCGATAGAATCAATGTAAATATAACAAATGGTGAGAATAAATGCACTCTTTTGTCTATATAGCTAGCGCTCTAAAAGGGTTTCGCACTTACGGATAGCACAAATAGACAAAATCTAAAAGCCTGCAGATACGCAGGGCCTGCGACAAGTGCCTTAAAACACAAGCGACGGTTGAAAACGTTTCAACAACAAAAAATATAAGACAAAGGCACGACAGTAATGCTTTCACTATAGTCTGGGACAGCTTAAAAAAACGAAGGGGGGAGGGGGGGGGGGGGGAGGTTATTGTTAAGGTTTCATGTTTCGGTATTTACGGGTAGCCGCCGAGAATCAACCTCTGATGCGTTTTTCTCGGAATTAGTGAAAACCACGAAGCTAAAGATTAAGGCCGTCGTGTATTTAAAAAAAAAAAAAGAAAACAAATTTCCAGTTTTACAGGAAGCAATGTTCTACACTACTTTTTTTTTCTTTTTTATCCTTTGGTCCAGAACACGGTCACCTTGAACTCTCCTCGTGAATGTTCTTTTTTATCGGAACCTCAATCCTTGCCCCATTCCCTTCTATCATCTTTACCAGCATTATTGGAGGGAATATTAAACATCTAATATTATATATTATAATATATTTTCATTAATAAATACACAGTCACTTTACAAAACTAGCCCGATACATACCGATTTCCCTCCGGATTTCAAATGCGACACCGGTAAACACCGATTCAAACTAAAATCAAATAAATACCCTTTAATAACCCCCGAATTCGAAGAAACATAAATACCGAAAATACGGAACCCTCTTTGTGACGTTCATACTCTTGTTTTGTGATGCGCTCTTCGGCGTTCTTTTCGGCGAATGGCTCAATAGCATTCAATACGGCGCGTCTTAAGGACGCTCGAAATACGCCACATCATGGGTTTCCCAAGCTGTTCATTATTGCAGTGGTGTAGTGACAGACAGCGTAAGAGACGCCTGGAGTGAAGTTAAAAGGAATGAATTCCAGCCAAAGGGCCCTCAAAGAGTACAACCCAGCATTTAGAAACGCGTCCAATTTCTTCATCAAGGGCGTCCAAAAACATTAAGACGCAGCTGATTTTTTTTTTCCTTTTTTTTAATCCTGTTTGCTCATCGATATACTTTTTTCTCTTCTTTTCCGCATGTGTTTATTTGGCAGCTTTGCTTGCCAGGTGATGTAGGCCCTGGGTGTACACGGTTGGCAAGGCACGCAAACACGTATTCATGTTGCCCGGTGTATGCTAAATGCGCCGTGACTCCAGTGAAAGCATCTTCCGGATTTGTGGATCCACGTCAAGCACGCCCGTGTTCGCAAAGTTAATTCGATAGCCAAGGTCGTCGCAGTATTCGGCAACGGCACAGCGCTCACGATGAAATATTCGCACGTCGTTCATTTGTTGACGAAGTCGCTCAGGAAAGATCTTCGTTTCGCCGATGTCGGAGACATGACACTTCGTTTGGCCGTGGCATGGATCGGCCCAGTGTGGACACTGGCTTGTGTTCTACTTGAGCATCCACAAGTCGTTACTTTCAATGGCTTGGACCTCAAACCCATGGGCTGTCGTTCTTTTCTTTTACAACATTATTGTTATAGGCAACCATACAGATCTTTGTCAAATATGTTTACGTTCCACGCATTAAGGGGCTTCTTTATGTTTATGATTTTTGCCTCGTCATTTGGTTTCAGGCGTGCCTCGTCATTTGCTGCAGTGCAGTAATAAGATAATTGGGACTAAAAGTACGTCCTGGGGTCCTTACGCTGACACTGATTATAAGTGCAATAAAACACAAAGCCTTTCTTGGAGGCAAAAAGAAAAATGTTTCGAACAGATTTTTTTTTTAGAACAAATGCTCCACACCCATTGATGCGCGCACCGAGCTACCGCGTACTTAAGTATCTGAAGCTGCCTGGTGAGCTCTATGTGAAACTAAGTAAGGAGATTGAATGAAAGCCGGTAGGGTTACCAATAAAGCGGCTAAGTGTAACGTTAAGAAAAACTAGGCTGTTCAAACTGAAAAGTTTTGGCCTAAAAAAAGGTGGCAAGTGGCGGTCATTCACACCACACTTTGAGGTTTCGTGGCGATGCCAGTCGTTAACCATCAGAAACAAGGTAAGAGTAGCTTTAAGCGCTGAAAGTTGGTTTGATTGCTGCTGTGAACCCGAAAAACCACAAGATGTGGGAAGAAGGATGGACGGCAGCTGGTGGATGCTGGGACCTCGTTTTCAGTAAAAATAACAAAAGGAAGACGTTTACAATTCTCTGTAATGGTAAATAAGAGCGCAGCTCTTGAGGAGGAGGAGGGGAGAGTATGCCCCTCCTTTTCTTCCGTACCCTTACCTTTTCACCTCTGCTTCCCTCGCATTTAGCGAGAAATTTTCGTAAATTTCCCGCTAAATGTAGCCAAAGCTTTCACTGCTCAGTTTAGCGGGGAACTATTCGGGATAAACTTAGCAGGAAATTTAGCGAAAATGCTCCCGCTAAATTTAGAGAAAAATTTAGCGAAAAATTTTGAACTAAATTCTGCGTGAAAGTTTAGCAGATATTCTCACACTAAATTTAGCCGGGAAACTGAATTGGTGTCGAGGTTACGTGACTTCAATTTCCCCACTACATTTAGCGGGGAAACAGTGACTTCCAATAACGCAACGCGAGCGGTTACGCCGACGCCGACGCCGCTCATTCCGGAAAAGGGCGCCTAAGAGCTGCGCCCTAACATGTTTAGTGAGATTTTAGTTATTAAAGACCCAAATGAGGCGTATTTTCCGATTGGTGAGTGTTCATAATGCAACCGAATGGAGAGTGAGGCCTGCCATTTTTACAGTTTAATGCTGGTTAGCTATCCCTTTGTGTTTAATATGCAGTAGGTGTGTAACCTTCGAAAATACCAAACTTTCAAAGGTGCCTTGCCGGAGCATGCAGCAGATAAACTCGCCTTTCGCCTCATCAAATTGCAAAAAGACCAATCCCGTACTTCGTTTCAGGTTATGTGGTGCATGAATGGGCGGTACCATACTGCGGACTTCCTATTCAAGGCGGCCAACCGCCTCGGTATGTTTTATTCCGAGGAAGAAATCAAAACTCTAGTCAAAATATTTGTTCACGACATTGCCTTCCAGTATCTAAATCGCACTGAACTCAGCCATTTTATGCCAACCAATCTTTGATTATGTTAGTAAACAATCCCCCCCCCCCTCCCCCCGAAAAAAAAAAAGAAAAAAAAAAGACAGAGCTTATATCGGCTAAAATGTAACGCGTCGCAAGCATATAAAAATAAACAAATTAAAAAAGTACGTTTCACTTCCTGCTTTATATGGCAGAGCGCCTTGCGCAATCATCTATCAATAAAGAGCTGTGCTGCACGAGAAGAACGTTTAGAAGGCAGTTAGGAGGGTGCTCGACAGTAACATAAGTTATCCAAATGGTCCATTATTTGGCCTCAGTAATGAATAAAGATGGTCAAGCTGATGTTCTTTTCTTAGATTTAGCGAAGGTGTTCAACAGAGCTTTAGATCACGAGTTAATGCACAAGCTGAAGCAGGTATTGGATAATGATTTCCTGTTGATCTCTTATATTCTTACCTTACCAACCGTTAACGGTTCGTGTCTCTGGTAAAGATAATATATTGAATTACCTTTTTTATATATCTGTAGTGCACCAGAGTTCTTTACTCAGACAACTGCATTTTTTTATTAATGATCTGATGGTATGTAAACCCTCAATACAATGTCGATTTTTCGCAGATAGGTGTACAGTGTTTTCTAAAATAGATTGCTTTTCTTATCAATAATGTTTAGATGATAGCCTTCAAATAATATTTTTGTGGTGTCAAAATGGTAAATGGACATAAAGGTTAAGAGATGCATGCAAATGACAATAACGCTGAAGAGAGCACCATTTTCCCCTACATTATCAGCTCCAATACTTTAGCAGTAGTCAATGAATACAATTATACAGGTGTTACAATCACCTGTAATTTAAGCTGGACTTTTCACATTCTGGAGGTTATTGCCGAAGCGCCTAGAAAGCATGTGGTCGCTAGGAAGACTGTGCTCCTCAAACTAGGCTAAAGGCGTACAAATCTCTAATCCGTCCTTTGGTAGAATAAGCGAACACCCTAGCGACCCTCATTTACAATCTTATTTAGGTCAGTTAGAGGGGGTTAAAATTGGCACAGTCTCACTTTTAATTTTCATAGCAAATAATCGTCTTTCATTTTTGTATGCTGCGTCTGAAGTGCATGATTTGTATGTTGAAGGAAAGTAAATAGCCTAACATTTTTACATAGTATAATACATCAAAAAATCGTTTAAAGCTTGATGTCTATTTTGAGTCTAACGTAAGCCGTGACAAAAGAAGGATGTATAAAAAACTGATTCCTGAATTTCGTTTAAGAAAAGAGATTAAAAAAAAAAACATGTCCGCATATTGTTTGGAGAGTGGAACGAGTTGCCTTAAAGCGTGACGGTTATTGCTCTTGTGCTACGTGTTTTAGTGAAATTGATACTTCTCTTCGTTTGAATGGACGTAAAGAACTGAACTGGTTATCGTAAAACTGAATGTTTATGCGCGTTAATTTGGTTTACTGACTTTATGTTGTGTTGACTAGACCATGCGTTGGCATTCAAAATTTGACCGGCAGTTTCTTCAAACTACGTAAATAAACAAGTAAAAATATTATAACAATGATTATTCCTCATCTTTAGCATAATTTTCTCGTTCCGTATATATTTTTCAATAAATGCAGCTATTACGGTTTCATCCATGATTCAAAGCGTATTTAGCAAAAAGATGTAATGATGTTATTTTTTCCTGTTTAACTGCTCAGGATTGTTACAATCGCATGCAAGCTCAAAGCGAAGCAGCGAGTCGTCATGACCGGTTCTCGTACTCACCACGCCGAGAGTTCTCTACACTCCCCGAACCTCCGACACGGCAGGAGTCGAATCCTCACCAGGGTCGGCTTGCTTTCGCGTGATCCTCCGGCTAATTGTCCTCGTCCGGTTGTAAGCCCCCGGAACGCTGATGATGCACTGGAACTCCGTCGATCCTTGGCGAGGAGGTAGACGCGGGATGTCGAAACGGGCAGTTGCTCGGACGTCGTAGAAGGCTTCGTCCGAAGACGGGCTGACGTACGTCTCTACAGGGGATAGCTGGGTGGTGTGGTTGTCGAGTCCGATGCTCCAGAGAATCCGGAAGGTCACCTCCGGAGCCGGGACAGCATGCTGTGCCGTGCACTCGACGCCACCGACTGTCTCGTTTACTTCGGGACTTATGATGCTGAACGTTACGTTCTGAGGAGGAGCTGAAACACATGTTCGGAAGAAAACTAAAAACAGTTTCCACATCAGTGAGGGCTTAATCGTAAGCTTTACTATATACTAGGCTAAAATTTACGAACTCCCTTTCTTTGACAGAAACGCTGTTTATGACAAGGGTTCCGTGACCTTTTGGTGTGCAGTGACTAACCCTATACGCTCGCACCACCGCACGCGCAGGCCTTCCCCGTATGAAACATCCCAAGGAAATAACCAAAACAAAACGTTGACGAACGCGCGTGCGGGATGCAATTGTTTTAGGCTTTTGTTTTGGAACAGTTACTGCTCCAGACGCCGGTACGTGTGGCGTATGTAACACCACTCCCGGCATGCTCCATTGGGTAATTTAGAATAGTTTTTTTTCAATAGATGATTTATCATTAGGAACCACCTTCTAGAGAACCAGACTCTCAGGTAGATAATGAAGTTTCCTCAAATATATCCCGCTGTGCGACCCGCGTCGCCCGTGTCTACGCTGCCATCGCCCTCTCTTTATTGTCGTTCCAAGCGCTTTCGTGCCTATTTTCCTGTCCTTCGGCTCTCCCAGGATGGCAGTCTCGTTGCACCTGTCTACTTTCCGCCGAGCGGAACGTTTGGGGGTGTCTATTGTCGGTGACAGGTCAAGAACGAAGTGGAAGCTCCTCCCACCCCTTTCCACTTCTGCCGAGCGAACGGTGGAAAGGAGGTCGCCCTCTCTCCACCGTTCGTTCCACTAGAGTGGACAGGTGTAGAAAGAGCTTCCACTTCCTTCTTGACCTGTCACCGACGATAGTTTTCTCCGGCTCCTTGGTGCGGGTTTGTGTCATGTTCTAAACAACCTCGCTGGTCATCCACCTTCAAAGAGTGGAATGGCTCATGATTTTTAACATCCTCTTCGTTTTGACTACATGGAAACATGTCTCCAGAGTTATTTATTTTTAGGTGTTTTATGATTCGCGCGTTAGCCATATCGTGGAAAAACACTTAGTGGAAAGAAGTCCACCAAGTGTATGTTTACGTATATACTCACTGTCCCTAACAGTGGCCTGAAAGCTGGGGGGATGGGGGGGGGGAGGGATGAAAATGCCGCCCCCCCCCACATCTACCGATTCTGTTCATACGTCTGGCCCATCATTAAAGCAGTTGCTACTGCACAATGGTCTAATATTACAAACTGAACAAACAACCGCCAAAAGTTAAATAACCAACGCGGGATTTTGGCATACCCAAGCAAGATTCTACACTAATCAACGTGAATTTACAATTAGTTCAATACGTTGGTGGTTTATGAAGCTCAAGGGTCATATCTAATGAGGCTTGTTTGTAAATGAGCTACCGCGTCTCAAATAGGTTACATATCGAAGTTACGCGCAAAAACTAAGGTAGATAGAGGCGTCTTTTTTATTCAAAAATCCAGAAAAACGTTCCGACTGTAAACGATCGTCCCCTATAGAACACTAAACATTTACTTATGGTGTCACGCCGTTCATAGTTACATCAGTAGTTTTATTCGAGTTGTTCAAGTCATATTGCGATGCCATATTATTAGCCAAGAATCCTTCCTGTGATGCACGTTTTTCTCGTCTCCTGTCTAGCGGATATACCTCTACGAGAGTTTGACATTTATCGCGAGTATTATGTATAGCTTAATTATTTACTATTGATTAAAATTTTGCTGAGGGACGTACGTAGTCAATTGGTGAGGGTATCGAGCAAATGTTCTCAACTGGCCTTAAAGTTTATATCTGACTGCATTTTAAAAACGTCACATATTGAAAAAAAAAAAAAAACTGAAGCCTACTTCCCGAAAATGCGATGAGCAGGATAATTTACTTCCCCTTTGTCATTTCAGAAATAATAATGAACTGTACCTTTGATTTGCTACCTCGAAAAGGCTGCTTTGCTTAAGTGACGCGTCTGGTTGCAAGTTAGAAAGAGTTCAGCTCCTCAGGGGCTCTGAAATTTCTGTATATAATTTTCAGCTTACGGTTGTCAAGTTATTGTTCTTAAGAAGCAGTCATCCATTGTTCCTGGCAAACAGTGTTATTTATTTGTATATTTATTTTGAAAAGTTGTTGCGAAGGAGTGTGTAGATGAGGAAAATGCTATTATTCCTGGGACCTCCATCAGTTGGCTAACTATCACTCCATCAGATCGCCAAGTAGCGACTTGCCCTTCACTCTTCGCCTACACCTCTACTGGCTTCCCCTTTTCCCTAACCCTGAAATAAACAAAACACTAACTGGTTGGTGAAGGCGCAAAACATTTTCCTGCCTCCTGCGGATATCCTGGAACCTAGCAGTGGCCGAACCCAAGAAGAGGCACAATGCCAGGCGAAATAAGTGACACGAGATACCAACACATCGTCCAACGTATCGCCCACTCCGTGACTGTGAAACACTGTTAGCGGGACCCGCGCGCCTTGTCCGGAAGTGAAGATGAGGACCTAGAGTCTTGCTGAAAGCATTATGAACCAGTTAACAACCGCAACAGAGACGGCTCTTTAATACTGTAATGCCCAACAACATTTCTCGAAAGCATAAAATTCTGCGATTGAAAATCCTAATAGACTGAGAGTAAAATAATGCATTCCAATGTTTGTTTCTTTTTGTGAAATGTATTAATTATCATACAAATTGGTGATGTATCATATATGATACAGTACGCATTAAGTACGCTGAAAACATGAAGTTGCACTAAGAGTGGTATGCGCTGGAACGATTGCGCTCCTTCGTGTTGCAGAGGTGTACCAAGCACTTTGTGCATCGGGTGAATGAAAAATGGTTGATTGATGTACTGCAGTGCCTGCAGCACTGCCTTGCTGCTGTCCACCCAGGGAATTGGCCGACAATGTCTCTTCTAACGTATTCCTGCCGAGCAGGGTCGAGTCTTGTTTTCTTTTGTGGGGGAGTTGTGCCGTTCTTTGGACGCCCTCTGGCGACTTTGTTGCATTTAACATGTGCATCAGCAACCGCCGCTTGGAACTTACGCAGCTTCATGTGATGCCTCTTGAGTTGTGTGCCATACCGTACGGTAGAAAACGTAAAGGTACTAACGTCTGGATTTTACTTTGTACTTGCACATCTGGACGAGGTAGTTATGCAAGTCCACACAACCCATATACGAGTTGTAAGTTGCTACAATGCGCGGTTGCGGCACATCAATGTGAGTTTTTGAAGTCTTGTAATACCGTCTGACAGATCTGATGGGCGCATCTCCAACATAGTTTGACGGAAGGGAGACAGTACGGTTATCGAACCATCGCACCAAGCAGAGAGTTTCATCTGAGTTCACTCTAACGTCATGAGCACCTCTGCCAGTGGTTTTCACCTCTTTCTCAAAAGCCAATCGGCAGCCTCGTAATCGGTTTTGACGAAGGGTTCCCACAAACCCAATGCCTCTTGTCCTCAAGGCAGCTGCGAGAGGTATGGATGCAAAAATATTATTTGCGTGTCTTGAATTTTTTTTTTCTAGTTGGAAGGGATGCACACATGTCCACCACGGTGTCCCCACCAAGTTGATACGTGTTGTTTATGCCACTTTTTTCCTTTGTACACATTGAAACAGTACAGTATTCCAGAAGCTCTGGCCCTTCCCCAAAGCTTGGTGCCCCAAGGCACAGGCTCCTTTGGCATGTATAGCTTTACAGATGTGCGCCCTGTGAAACTGATCATTATCTCATCGATAGAATTAAATTCTCCAGGTTCAATGTTACTGAAACTTCTTTCACTGCTTGAATCCATGGCCGTATTTTCCAGGCTTTGTCTTTCCTCAGTTATTCTGTCGCTTCCAAATGTTTGGTGGAGTGAAGATTTCTGACGATGGCTTCAAAGCGGTTGCGGCTCATGCCATCAGCAATTTTGCAGCACCTTGACTCTGACCCCCAGTAGTATCTTACTGACGGCGCATCCATCAGCCCAATGTGGACTTACATGCCTATTACTTGCTCCTGTTTTTCCCTACTGACGGTGATCGAAGCTCTCATTTCTGGTGGCTGTACGTGTTCGTTTGTTCGGCAACTTTTTTCATCATCTCTCTCGTAATGAACGGACTAAAGTACACTAAGGGACTGTTCATGTCTTCAGGCACAGGAAACTCTTCAGTGAAAGGAAGGTCTTGGTTGTTGTACAGGAATTTCCTCCAACTCCCGTCGTCTCGAGTCGACATCTGGGCAGCAAGAGAGTCCCTGTCACTTTCAGGTTCTTCATCTTGATCAGATACTTCAGCGTCCTGGTCGTTCGAGTTCGCCAGTTCCTGAGCATGACGAATGCTCAAGACCTCGTCGATAAATTTATCACCGCTGCTATCATCGACATCAATGTCCTCGCCATTAACGAGGCATTTCAAGATGTTCCTGGCTGTTGTCTTGGCTGACAATACAATGAAAAATTAAGTTAGACTATAATAACTATAGGAACGCCTGTTTTTGTACATTACTGTATCACACGTGCTACAAAGCATTTTAGTTACACTAAATGCCCAGAGTATCGTACGTGATACGGAGATTCGCTACCACTCGTGAACGACGGCAAAACACATTGGCTGAAGTTAAAACACTATGCTAGGCAAAGTACAATATTTACTAGGCGCATTCTGTAGCATAGCAGGTACAAAAACGTACCCAGACGTCCTGTTTGAGGTCTGCAAAAAGTGCGAGCCAGAATACTCGACGTGCTTGGTTGACCAGGCTCCATTTTCAAAATGCGTCGATTCCCCAAGCGGCGGTTAGGCGAACTTTCGAAATCGAAAAAATATTTTCGGGGATGCAGCGTGATATATGCTGGCGTGTTGAGCTCTAAAAGGCTGCCTTACGTAGCGTATCACACGTGATACGTGGGGCATTACGGGGTTAAAACTAAGTAACCTTTCTTTGCTTTTTTTTTTCATGAAAACCACCGCTATCCGTTGCCTAGGTAATAACAAGGACACTATTAACTTCTGGGATGAATTACAGGTGCCGTACTCCAATGCGTTTGGTGAACCCGAACATTGGAATGAGTAGGCCAGGACCCAGTTGCTCCAATGCTACCTAACGCGGGCTTTTAGGTTAGTCGTATATTTAAGCGTCCCTCCTATGAGCTCCTTTCAATCGTGGTACCCAAGTCGTTTGCAACCGTCAAAATACTTGTCGCAGAGTAGGACGTCCCAAGATGTTGACGGCAAAGCATTTATAAAACGTCCTTTGAACCGCCTTTCCGATGTGGCCGACATACTTTTATAGACACCTGTTTAACTAGTCTCGTATCTGCCACCGTATCCTGGGGACTGCGAGTTATTAAGGTACCGCTACAGACATTTTGTGATCGTCTTTCATAACCCTGGGGATCGAGAAACCTATTTAAGAACAATTCAGAACAAGATGTTGGTGTTCCTTTTGCGGCAATACCACCCGCTTAGGCACCAGCGGAACCGGCGCCCACGAACTTCTCCCTCCGCGCAAACCAGATGTCACCGATAAACCTCTGAGACTAGGGATGAATGATTTAATATGGTGATAGTTTTGCGGAAAGGAGGTTCAAGGACAACTAGCTTCCTCCTCATCGACTTCTTCCTTCAGAACAGTGCGTATACGTTAGAGGCATTAGGCAACGTAGATTCGAGGGTGAAGTCCCTCTTCTAATAAGCGAAGAGTCATTACAAAACATAAATAAGGAGCAGGCTTAGGGAAAGAAGTAGGAGGAGGTTAATGATGTGATTTTAGCTTCTATACTTCGCTTCTCTCTAAGTCCACCGCAGCCTATGCTACGAACTAATGAAGCTAGTCAAGCAACGCTGAGAGTACATCTAAACAGCTCTCATCGTCGTTGTGAGCTATCTACCGACTAAACAAGTCACGCAGAGTAAATGGACTGCTATCTCGCGCTCATTTTATGCCTGATTGATGGAGTCAGTGATAGACCCCTATGACAAAAAACGTCGTAACGAAGTTCTTTTTTTTTTTTTTCTTTTTCTTTTTTTTTTTTTTTTTTTGCGGCGTGATTTATTTTAACGGATCGTGGCGTCAGATGCGTTCGGACCTAAAAGGGCACTCGAGTGATTTTTCGCAGATTGTTTTGGTTAACATAATGGTGCGATAGACCTTGAGTTGATAAAAAAAAAAAACGCCCTTGCAGTTTTAGATGGCAAGATGTCTTAGTAAACAAAGCGCAATAACATAACGCGGATAACAATTTTTTCTTTTGGTGGGGGGGGGGGGGGGGGGGGGATCCTCGGTTCCCGGCCACCGAGATAAAATTTGACCTATGAAAATAGCTAGTTGTATCGGGATTCTGAATGTTAGTGTTATAGCTGTTTTAAAAGCGTTGTAATATTTTTTTTTAAGTAACGTGAAATTTTTAGGTGTAGAATACATAATACAACAATTATTGTTGAAAAGCGACGTCCGACAGCGCCTTTTGGTTTCTGCCCAAAGACGTAGAAATGAGTTCCGCGTCCGGATCTTTGAATATTGTTTAAGTAGAAAAATTCGCTTCCCAGAAACATATTTTTTTTAAATTCCTTGAGCCTGTAGATTGAGTTATCTCCATAAATAGACGATCTGAAAATCTACTTGAGTACCCCTTTAAAGATAACAAGAATTTTAGTAGCAGTCAGTAATGCCAGAATTTTGTAGCTGTTGTCGTCAGCGGTTGGGAGTAAAGTAGTAGTAGTAGTTTGATTGCCGTTAGTGGTTAGTGGTAGTTAGTAGTATACACTAGTAGGGTTTGGTTGTGATAGTAGTAACATCATAGTAGCAGTCAATAGTGAGTAGTTTAGAGTCATGCTAGTAGCAGTGGCAATAGTCGTTGGATTAGTGGTGGTGGTGTTAATTAGTATAGAAAGTAAATTGTTTGGGAGCTAGATCAGTCTTGCTCTTGTTTTTTGGGTTAATATTATTCTATATTATTTTTGTGCATTTATCATTTGAACAAGTGTGTGCACCAACTTGAAGTAAATGAAGCTATCGACGTTTTTACTGACACGACTGCATACTCCCAAGAAGAACACAATCATGAGTACCGTCTCCTTAAGAGAAATTTAAAAAAAAAAAGCTACACGCGTGAGTTGGTAGTGTTGGTACTTTGCGAGTGTTTGTGCTTTAGCCACGGAAGCACTCAGGTAATTTCTGGAGGCGCATTCTAAATCACAGATTTTGCACTTATACATCTGGCTGTGGTCCAAGTGAGGAAGAATCAAAGTGCATGGTCTATATCCGATGAAGCCATGCAGCCACCGAGGAGCTTTTGCCTCGCGTGATAAATCGTTTTGATATTTTGTTGTCATCTTAGCGCCGATCATTAGCTCCCAATTTTTTTCTCCGGCCTTAGCCTGGAGCATGTTGTACTGCTTGTCGGGGGGCTTATAGCATTGCCCTTTCAAAGTATTTGAGCGAGTGTCTTAGCTTTTAGTTGATCGCAAGAAAGCATACACGATATCTCAAAAACAAACTAAACTTTTTAAAAAATCTGTTGGTAGAGAAAAATATTTTGCAAATGGCATGTAGCTGATAGGTATATTATATTTAAAAAAAACGCATCCCCACGTGGTTACTGATGTTGATAGGGGCGAAGCTCTGGTGGTGCTCGTCTGCGTAGACGCTGAGCCGCAGCATGCCTAGCCTTTCGTTCGTTTTCATCCATATCACGCTGCGGTCAAGTGCTCAAATGCGTATATAACCACGTTCCATACCGCACATTCTCTTTCTGACATGGATGAAAACGAACGAAACACTCGGCATACTGCGGCTCACCGTCTACGCAGACGAGCACCACTAGAGCTTCGTCCCAATCAACATAATTCACCTAGTGAAAATGCGGTTTCCTTTTTTTTTTTTTTGCTTTTTGTTTTACATGAGCACGGGAGCACGTCCTCACGTGCTCGAGAGCACGAGTACCCGACGCCGGACATTGGACGGACATACGGACATGGCTAGCCCCCCAAGCAGCTTCGCCCCTAAAAACTAATTTCAGGCAAGAATAGTATTTGTCGGGCTTGCGGGCGTCCGATTCTATAGAAGAATTACTCGAAAGTATAAAAAGAACTCTCTTTTTCTATCTGCAAATATCTCGTGATACACCTTAAACCGTCTTGCATTTGAAGCACATTACCGTACTGAGGAAAGCCTCCTGTAAGAGAATTAAACTTTTGAAATATATAATCGATATTTTTGCTAAACGTGGGCTAGGTACTGCCTTGTTGAAGTAGCTGACATAGGTCTTATAGATACAATTTTACGAAATACTTGAGACTTGCTGTGTACCAATTAATAAACATTATTGAGGATACAAAAAGTACCAGTGATTATGAGTGTGTGCCAACCATTAAACAACATTCGCCGGCTCATATGAACTTATTGTTTATGACGCACAGAAAGCCAAGGGGAACCAACGATATACCTACACTCAGATCGAAAGTGCGGCATTGGTCCAATTGATAATAATAAATTGCAAATCTTTAGGTAACTTACATGGTATAAACAAATTTCACATTATTGGTATTTACAAGCAAAAGTTCCTGCTCTAGTATAGTTCAAGATTGTCGGGGGTGCTTAAAAATACACTTCTAACCAAATTTAAAAAAAAAAAAAAGATTAATAGCAAATTCTAGGGAAGCATTGTCTAACGCAATACGCACTCACCATACACGGTCATGTTTCCAGAGCGGGATTCCTGGCCTACCAAAGAAGACACCTGGCACGTGTATATTCCGCTCAACTCCGTCGTAGGTCGCATGATCTTAAGTGCTCTGAACTTGTTTAGGTCATTCCCATTAGGCACGCTGAAGAACAGGTCAAGTCTGTTGCGAAGTTTGGGCCCAACGTGACGCCCCACCGAGATCTCCGGAATCCACTGGTACAGGGGAACCGGGTCGTCGTCCAGGAACCACTTGACCACGAGGCCCTGGCGATCGGTGGGGTCGCTGTCAAGCTCGTACTCGCAGTCCAACACGACCGACTCCGTCCCGTTCTTTACGAAAGTTGGCACACTCAGTCTGGTGATCCTGATGCTTCTCGCAGGACCTGCGTTCAAATAGCGTTCTGTCTAGACACGAATGGCCTCAGCTCTTCGAAATATTCGTTTTTTTTATTAGTGTGACATTTTGAATTAAAACTAGCCAACTTTTTCTCTTCAGTGTGGTGGTGTTACGAGAGTAAAAATAAAGAGCACGAAACAAAACTTGGATATAGTTTTTTGGAATTACAGCATAATTGTATGGGAAATCTCAAACTTTCATTGTTTTGAATATGTGTTACAAATTATAATAAGCCTCTATAATTTCCAGGAGTACACAGTGGAATGTGTCCATAGAACTTTCCTCGGATCAACAGTCATAAAAAATTCAAATTGCTATTTTTTAAATGAGCTTGTAACCACAGGAATCAGTTTGTACATAATATTGCTAACTTTTAAGTACTTCAGATATAATAAGAAATTGTTAATTTCTCAGTGTCGGCACAATACAAGATTCAAAACAAAAAATTAGCGTGAAAGTGGCACTATATAGTATTAAAAAATGTTTTTATAATTTATTTGTCCCTATCCAGTCGCTGCAGAACACTGTAGTTTACCATGTCTCAATTAGAATTTTGTTTTCAATAAAACTTATAAGGAACCGCTGAAGCCTAGAAACAGTAGAATCGTCCTTTCTATTATTACGCTGTCATTTAAATTTGGCGTAGATATGAAATTATGCAATAGACCCAACGGACAGATATATATCCTATTCTGATGTTCAAGGCATATGGGAGACGTCATAAACTTAGAGTTTTATTTAAATAAACTATAAGTAGAAACCGTTACTGTGGCATTGAGCATCAAAGAGATAAGATTAAATAGAAATAAGAAACAAGCTAAAGGAGCCAAATTAGTAATTTGTAAGATTGTTGAAATACGATCACCACTGGGAGAGCCGTTCGATTTGTTTTTCGATGAACGAAACAGCTAAATTAACAAAGTTTTTTCTATGCGAAGTATAAAACCAAAATAATCCTAACGCATTCAGGAAATACACCAAATCAACACCCGCCAACATGAAAAAAAAAAAGAAATTGTTAGAAACACCGGAACAGAACCACGCGAATCTGATGTAGCTCGATTGGGGCAAAATAATACACTGCATTATACGCCTGGGACGAATTATTCCCTACTGCCAGAGCCCTTCATTACACTACTGGTTAGGAATGATCTCCGTAACGCTGTGAGAGCTTAATACACTACCACTCGCGTTGCTAGCATCGACAGGCTGGCAAAGACCGCCAATTCAGCCTACACCACTTGGAGTCGGGCAATCGATAAGTGGTACAGGTATCTCAAACCCACTCCGAACAAGACGCAAATAGACCGCGGTGACGCGTCATCGCACTGACAGCGTTTATCGTTATTGCAAGCGTCTTTCACTGTGTCCACTCAGACAGAGAATTCAACTTCCTTTTCTACAACTCTCCAATGTATTTTTTTTTTTTTACATCTTTGCGAACAATAAATTCTTTATACCGTTGTCGCCGTCATGTTTTAGCACCAGCAGCAATACCATCAAGCTCAGGCACTGCGAATCCTTGCCTGTCTCTTTTATGCTCGCAAGAACACCGTTTGTTATGAAAACAAAGCAAAAAAACTCTGATCCCTAGTTTTTGTTGTTAGAGATGATTAATATGTGACCGGTGCTTGCATACCGTAATGAAATTCTAGCGTATAAAAGTGTCGGTACAGAATAAACTGTTTTCTGAAAACCTAGTGTAATCGCGAATTTAGAGTGGCTCAGTGAACCTGGGGTGGCCAAATAAAAACGCCACCTTCGAGACAGTGGCGCTCCGGGTGGTAGTTTGTGGCCCCTTGTGTTGGCGGAAAATTTGTGAGCAGTATTTTATTGAAGGAGTCTGATATTACCGTATAAAGAGGCACTTCGTTCTATTTCCTTCGCCTAACACCTGAAATGTGTTCAGGGCTCTATTCAAAACAATTGTTTTCGAGGTGGTGGTCTCCAGGGCGGACGGGGGAAGCAATCGGTTGTATAAAGATGAAATAAAATGAACCGTTATGAGATGTCCTGATCAATGAAGCTGTCTTGTGAAGATATGTCCGGGTTACGAAACCATTTGTGACGCTCATTATATTGCTGAACACAATCGTGAGCCCAAAAGATAAGCCAAAATATTCCATATCACCAACAAACGTGCATACTCGAAGGGAACAGTAAAATACAGCGGAAACTTGGAAGAGTCAAGACGCCGTCGTTTTCAAAGAAAGGATTGTAAGTAAGAAGTCGATTTTTTCTGTCTCCATGAAAAAACAAAATTGTAGAAGCGAAGGCAGACAAGAAAATGTACGGCATCAGCGAATGGAAGCATCTGCAAAACGTGCATGCGCCTTTTTGGGAGAAAGATGTAGTTACAAAAAAAAAAAAAAAAAAAACACTAGGAAATTGGGGTTAAATCTCGACGAAACTTTCTCGTCCCTATAGCATATAAAAATAGTGAAAGGCCCCGTTTTTCGAAACAAAATACCGCACTCACAATCAACGGATTCGCGGCAGAATCTCAAAGAAACTCGCAGAAAGTTCGCGAAAAGCTCAGACCCAGCGAGACGTTAAACTTTAATTCGTCTTACCTGCGGGGGGATAATTGGGCCCTTCTCCGTTTTCGGGAAGAGACGGCGGCGTTTACCGATCCGCTTTTCTCAAACGCGGATACCACGGCATGGCACGTCTCTTATTTGCTCTATAATTCAGGAACGGGGGGTGAACTTAGCCCGCGCTAACATTCCTACCTTCCTCCCGTTCACGTATGACGGGGAAGGAGGAATGGGGGACTTTCGATCCTCAGGGCTAATTGGATTGGGGAGTAATCTCTTCGGCGAGCGCGCCATCGCTTCACGCTACGCCGATATCCTAGGCGCTTCTAAGGAAATTATAGTGCAGCTTTTTCCCCGTGGCTTCGGTGGGTTCCCCTTTTGGCTGCGTCGAGTTTCTTCCGTGATTCCCGACACGCTCTTCAATTGATGCCTGATAATTTTACTTTCCGCTTCCAATGCAAGAACTCAAGGTCCGTCTTTGGTTCCAAATCGCAGAAGGAAAGATTTTGCGGAGAGACATACACTGAAATTATATTCGTTTTTGTTTCATTTTGAGGCCCGACGTTTTTTGCGTTGCGAGTAATAAAATTATTTGGGAAGCAATCGTCGAGTATGTGCAGATCACGCATCAGTTTACTTATCATATGCTGGTTGGGAACAATCGGTCCCGTGATGTTTTTGTGTTGACTGAGCATGCACGTTTAGTTCCGCCTCCCTCTCGGGCAAGGCTGGCCTCGCATAGAGGATTCGAGAGAGATCGTAGGAGCAGAATGAGATGATTGTGTTTGTGTTAATTTGTCTCGTTAGCGACTTTGTGGGAGGAATGGAATGTGAGAGTGGGATGTGGTTAAAGTAAAGGAAAATAGAATTTCGCTAATCTCAGAAATGGGACACATAAACGGAAGAAACGATGAAAGCATACGTGGGACAAGTATTCTACAAAAATATATTTTTCCACGCCAATTTCCGTTTCCGCATTAATTACGCCGTTAGACGCAAATCAAGCGGAGGTTCCTGCTCTAGGATCTGCCTATTAGCGCAGAGAGCGCCGCTCTTCAATTCATTTCTTGGCTTTCATTGGATGCGGAGATCACTGACTTGTCAAATATTCGCTGCAAAATTACTTCTCACCTGGAGCGGTAGTCTTTTGTTCGAAATATTGCTTTAGAAACGAGCAATCTAGATAAAGTCAATATTGTTTTCCAAGATATTAAGTGTTAGCCTATTCCGCTTTCGTTTCAAGCGACCAGTAACATGGCTGTCGGCGTTTCCGCGAACAGGTTTGTGCGACGTATTGCCCCTTGAGCCCGTCTGTATCGACGAACGCGAGTTGTTTCCGCGTTCATAAATGTGGGTGCTCAGGAGATGCTTAGGCGAAGATATAGTCAAGCGACGTAGTTTGCAGCAACTAACTCTCGCAAATACAAGCTTTCGGAAACGCTGCGCGTGTGCTTGTGTAGTGGGTTGGGCGTAACCCTAGCGCCATACGTCAAGGATTTTGCTTGATGTACCTTGATTTGTTCGTTTGCACGTTTCGATGTTAAATAAAAACGCTGGTTTTTCTTATTATTTTTAAAGTGGCCTTCCTATTTTGATTATTGCGGAACCGTTTTTGTGGGGACCATTGTTTCAGTATTGCGAGGTAAGCTACACAGGTCAGAATTTGCGAGTCACCTGGCTGGAAAAAATCGGATGTTCTGTTCGGATCAGGTTTGTTCATGCTTGTTCCTAACATTGCGCTTCCGAAGGGCGAGATCCCTCAAGATTTGAGCAGTGCGCTGGGCTTGCTAGAGCGAACGTTTATGTCGCGTTTTAATCGTGTGGCATGACACTCACTTGCCAATTTCGCGGACGCTATTCAAGAACACAACACGAGTAGAAAAGTTGAAAGAGCTGCACATTTATTTTGATTATATTTTTTTTTGTGCTTTCGATCGCTTTTCACCACACATTGACCCACGTTGACAGACACTTGCACTGGAACGTGGCTCGCCATAGCCTCCTATATAGTGAAAAAGTCTGGCAGATCGCCACGACAAGCGGCCGCCGATATGGAAAAGATGGAAGGGAAGACAACGAATGAGAGCAGAGCCACGTGACTGGCGCCCCGCTGCGGCGAGACGTTGACAGCCCCTTCTCCCAACCAAGCAAGCGTGTTTCGGGTCCTCGCCGCTGCAAAAGCTGTGCACTGACGTCCAGGCTCCCAGAAAAATGTATCTTTGATGATCTGCGCTACCAGAGCCTCGCGCTCCAAATTTGCCACAGGGCACTCTATGGCTCCGTCGTCGAACTGCCAGGCTTTGTGAGTATATAGGAGGCTATGGCTCGCTCATGATGGAAGGCCGTCTTCACGTCCCCGTCTTCCAGGTGTTGCAGATGGCGGTAAACAGTGGCGCAAGAGGAGACGGACGTAGAAAAGGCGGACGCTCACGCGCCGCTTTCATGTGCG